TTTTTTATCGCCTTTTCTATAAAATGCAATAGTTTAAGGGTGCGATAGTTTTGTACTTATTGACTGTACTTGAACAATGTTGTATATTGGTATAATTTTCTTTGTAATTTTGTTTTGAGTCGTCAATCAGTAGATTTTAATTTACTGTTTGCGGAAATAAAAAATACAAGAGAGAGAGAGAGAGAGAGAGAGAGAGAGAGAGAGAGAGAGAGAGAGAAATAATAAGTTTTCTTAATGTATTAATACCTAATATATGCTGTTATAACATATGATACAGGTGTTTAGAAGTAAAATTCAAATTAGTTAATCAACTTTTATGCGACAATTTAACAAATTTAACAACGAAAGAAATAAAATTGGGTGTTTTTGAATTGAAAGATTATACTATGAATATTAAAAAGCGGAAACATATTTTTTCTGATATTTCGAAGATGATATTTCGAAGGCGACAGAGGGTGCAATCTCGAATAAATGTTTCTGTATCAGAGAAACAAGATCAGATCATATCTCAAATTGAATCCTATTTTCTATCCCAAGTAAAAAAAGAATTACAAAATAAACTTCAAAATCGATTTCAAAAGTACATTTCTGTGAAGACAAAATCTCAGGAACATAAACATCTGTTACAGACACTTAAGTGAGTACAAAGAATTATGAAATACACTTTAATGAATTAAATTATTAAACATATATTTTAAGCATAGATTGCAATTAGTTTTACAGTATTTTTCTGAAGTATAAAAGTCGAACTAAAATCCGAATAAACTTAAAATCTATCAATTTTGTCATTAAAATTTAAAATTTACAATTTTATTTATTGTACATGAAATATTTACATCAGATTTTTTATATATTTTTTAAAAGATAAAAAAGTTTTTTTTAATAAAAATTTTTGATTATCTCTAAATGTTTTTCAGACAGATACATCTGGAGTTGTGTAAAATTTCAAAAATAGTATGTACTGTTTTTGGAATACAAATAGCTTGGGAGATAGGAGAAATTATTATGATTCTTATTGGAGCTTTTTATAATTTATACGTTCGATTCATCATACAGCAATACAAAATAAAAAGTTGGGCAAATCAAACAACTTTTGTATTGATGATGTGTTTTATGTGCGTTCTAAAAGCTGTTCCTTTAAGTCGCATTTGCAAGTACGCGTCTATTGAGGTAATTTCTCGTTCATCAGTGTGCGTGCGTGCGTGCGTGCGTGTGTGCGCGCGCGCGCGCGCGCGCGTGTGTGCGTGTGTGCGTGTGTGTGTGTGTGTGTCTATGATTACAGATTTTATAATTAAGTTAGATTTATTCGAGAAAATGATGTTTTTTAAAGAAATGTTTTAGAAATGTTTTAGAAGTTTGTAAGGTATAAAAAGATCTATTTATAGATAGATCTTTTCAGTTTGACTGGATGACGCTGCCAAGGTCAAATCGATTTTTTTAAATGGGATACTTTATTGATGCCAGAATTTAATTTAGTATCAAGAGCTTTTTAAAACACTATAATAAAGTTATTTTTCATTAAGTACTTTTGAGTTATGAAAATTACAGTACTTCTGACATTAGCATTACATAATTAGGTGTCCAACCGACGGCTAAAACTTTTTGAATGTTGTTCAGGATCATGTCCTGAATCAAGACCATTGGAGATTATTCCTCTTATTCTCACTTTTGCACTAAAAATTCATTTTTACGTAAAAATTGAAATACGAGATATAATCTCCAATGGCCTTGATTTTGAGAAATATTATCCAGGACGTGATCCTGAATAACATTCAAGAGGTTTTAGCCGTCATTACTTGCGTAATGCTAATGTCGGCGATACTGTAACTTTCAAGTTTTATAACTTGAAAAGTACTTAATGAAAAATAACTTTATTACAGTGTTTTGAAAAGCTTTTAACATCAGCTATTAGATTCTGGCATCAAAAATAGAGTGTCTTATTTTTAAAAATTGATTTGATCTTGACCTGATCTTGACGATGCCACCCAAGGTCAAACTGATAAGATCTGTAAATAGATCTTTTTATACTTTATAACTTTTATCTGAAACATTTCTTTCAAAAACATCATTCTCTCGAGTAAATCTCGATCTTTTTTAAACACCCTGTATAATTGATTGCAATTATATGTTTATATGTTATATATAATTATCATCCGTCATTGTTTCAGATTCAACAGTTTAGTGTTCAAATTTTACAAAGTCCGGTGACATTCTCAGTGTTTGGTCTTACTATAAATTATCGTATCTTAACTATGGTTTGTAACCTAATTGTTGTGTGTAAAACGTTGTTATAGCAAATAAAATTGCAAAATTAAATTATGTAATTAAAAATATATGTAACTACAAAGAACTTCAATAATATTCTTCTCACATTTTTAAAAAATATAAAAATATATTTATAAATCTATCTACTATATCACGTTGTAAATGCATCATATATATATATATATATTATATATATATTTTTTTTTCTTATTTAAGATTTTGGGAACTGTAACGACCGACTTAGTCATCATGGTACAAATGAGCAACTCGCTGGAATTGGACAATGCTGAATAAGATACACATTTTTAACGAATTATAAGTTAATTAATGATCATCTTTTAAGAATCTTTAAGGGAATCCTAAAATCTATATTACCAAATAACGCAGTAATTTTTAAATAAAAATTTTTTTTATTCTTTCATAGATTCAAAAATCCTTTTCCATGATTAAAGTATTATGATTTAAGTACGCATTAATACGTGTTTGTGAGGTGAAGTTTATGTGGAGAACAAAAAAAATTATTTAGATTAAAATCTTCTTTATTTTTTTAATCCAATATGATATCAGAGTTGTCAATATCGTAACAACATGTGTTTAATATAAAAGCTTTGCAATGTGTAAATTGTGATCCTCAGATTATACTAGTAATTTGTATGAATAAACAACGTGGAGTTCTTAGAATTAGACTTAAACGTCTAATTAAAACGCTATTGTTCTATGTATTGTATATATATCGTAAATATATATATATATATTGTTCTATATATATATTGAAAATGTATATATATCGTATGTGCATACGATATTGATGTAATAGATAAAGATATGTGTTGCATTTCATCGGTAAAATATCTCGTCGAAGTTCGAGTTTCATTTTAGGATTCCCTAAATTATGACAGAATCATATAATCCTGTAACAAACGAATGTCGTAAAGTGTCAAAATAAAAGTTACTCTCTAAATTCTTTGAAATGAAATCAAGAGTGGTAATACCTGTATTTTCATTCTTTGGAGATTAACTCCAAAAAGTTTACAAAGTACGTATGTAAGATAGAATAGTCTCTGTAAAATAGTTATAGTAGTCTCTACAAAATATTTAATAAATTCTTTTACTTTTTCCTTTTAAATTTTAAAATAAAATTTTATTCGTTGTAATTTATCGAATAAGACCGATCACTTTCAAGATTTGATCTTTGTAAATTTTGTAGATAAAATTTCTACAGGTGTAAAAATAGTTAGTGTTATTTAATATATATACATATAATGATATTTAATATAAAGATGTTATAAATTTTTGATAAATTAATTTAATAAATTTACATAATAAAACAATAATGATGAGAGATATATCCACGTAATATATTCTTCGATAATTAATTTTTTCAACTTGGGAAAGCGGACTATGTGGTCATAAATTTAAAATACGTCGAAGATGCTTATAACCATATACTTTTTAAAAATATGCGTCAGTCATTATAAATATTTTTTGTTTCATCTTAATATTTACTACTCATTTCCCTTTATTACATTATTGCACATGGTGCGAGATGTATATATCGGAGTATACGACCTTCCGAATGTAGAGTTCTTGCAATATGTACGATAGTTGCTTGTAATTATTTAAATAATATGTTATAAAATAGAATTTTTGTAACAATATATTAAATATAAAAAATAATGATTATTACTAATTTACAGAATAATTTTATCTAGTATACGACAATCTATTAAAATTTTTTTTGTTGTATATTAATCTTCTTTAACAAATGTCAGTAACATAAACTTGCGTTTTTAACCTTCGTATTGTCGTTAATAAGATAGCTCTTAGCTTGATACTTGTACGATATCGATCTTCCCGATGAAGTCTCCCGGGCATTTATCCATTATGGGATCACGGACACCCGAGGTATTTGTCGCTTATTTCACACTACTTGCCTTGTCATCGTTTAAATTTATCATTATTTCTATTGCATAATATTGCCGTTCCATCTGTAACAGCAGTTTTATGCTTATTCGGCATTCTACAATTTAATTTGATAAAATTTGTTATAATTTTTAAAAAAATTTGTTTAAAATCAATACTAAAAACATTTTAATCAAGATATTAAATTTTTGTTTTAATTTTTACATCTTCTCGAAAAAAAACTACTTCTAATATGGAGAAAAATATAGTAGAACATGTAGAAAAGAATTTGATATTTATCGCACCGTGCTGATCTTTTCAAAAATTAAAAATAATAGCAATTTTTTTTCAAAATTTCTATTGCAACTTCTCTATAATCCACAGAGACATTATTTATTATTTCGGTGATTTAAACCGAAGCAAAATTTCAGAAATTTTGAAATTCCACAGCGTATTCGTTGTGGAAATGAAAAAAAAAAGACGCAGACGACTTTATGCAATACGCTTGCGAGTGGATATTGATTATAAGATGAGTGAATGAATCCTTTGGGACATACATTGCGAGGCATCGCGGACATCGTTTACTTAGATTGTGCGTTCACCACTTCACCGCAGCCACCACCTATTCGACCACCTTCGACTTCCCACTTTTGTCGGGGGTGACATTTAGTATTACGCTGTCTCATATGTGCAAAACACGTGAGGTGACATAGGTTACAATACTCGTTTATTTTTCGATTGCGAGGTGCACGTACATTTGTAGTCGACGGTGAAGGGTTCGTCATTATCGAGGCTAGTGGTTTTGTACTTTGGTTTTGTACTCATCCACGAAGATGTTTGAGCCGAAGACTGTTCATGAAATGATCACGCCGATGTTAATGGCGAACGCCATCGTCGGCATGGGAATTTGGTCCTCCAATCGAGGCAAATTTCTAAACATTGCATACTCGTTGATCTGTCTGGTGACGTATTGCGTCGTGATGAAGCTGTCGATGGACAGCCTGGGAAGTCATTATTTGCCCAAAGTGACTTCACTCGGAAATTATACATTTTATGGGATCTTCTATGCCAACATCTGCCTGACGCTCTGTCTTATTCCTTGCGGCTGGTTGAGGAAAAAGGTAATTTAATTTAAGGGATCGTCGTAGAGATTGATATTAGCGTGCGAAAATGTCAAGATGTAAAATCTAATTAAGAAAAAAGAATTAATTTTTATATAGTATTTAAATATAAGCTCTTTATTCAACTCTTAAAAAGGATTTTACTGAACGTGGACTCGTGCGACTTGCATTATTGTTATTTTTCGACATTCGCAGTACATGAAGGCAGCAATAATGCGCATAGCGATGTGCGAAAAATCTTTGGAACAAATGGGATTGGAGAAGAACTATCGGAGATTGTATCGGAATCAGATTATTGCTCTCATATTCGTCGCAGTGATATTCATCGTATTTATAGTGGTCAATTATGATGGGATGTTCGTGGAGGGTACACCTTTGCATGTCAAAATTATCATTACGTTTGCCTTTAATTATCCCGTCGGCTTGCTCTACGTGAGTGACGTATCGTTCTTACACTGGGTCAGGTAAAATGATCCTGCATGAATACAAACAAATATGTAACGAATTAATCCCAAATTTGTGCAATCTACGAATGCACAAATCAATAGCTTTGAGAGATGTAATAATTTTATACTTCTTTTACTTAATTGCAAATTTTTGTACATTAGTACATCAGTATTCTCTAAATTTTAGTATTACTCAAAAGAGTGAGATTTCACTTCAAGAAATTTAGAGAATATAATTATTGAAAATTATATATCTGTAAATAATTGCTGGTTTTCCCTCTCTTGCTCTTACGCTTGAAGCTACGCGAAGATTCGGTTCACTCAACTGAACAATCTGCTGAGACTCATGTTAACGACTACGCCAGATTCGCCACAGCACAAAAGGGTACTGAAAATGAAGGACGAGTGGGACAAGTCCTTTGTCGCATCCACGCAGGAGGATTCTAAGTCTAAGGATAATACCGATACGATGAGGGCCGTTAAGTGAGATCTTTACTTAAACACGTATAAATAAATTTTTTGTAATTTTGCACATTGAGATCACCTTATATGTGCATTTTGTACACGTGTATATTTACAATTGCGTTACTCAGAATTTGCATGATAACAAGTCATTTATGACTAATGGTTATGACTAATGTCAATTTTATCTTGATCTGTTAAACATTTATTTAAAAAATATGGTAATTAACACATTCATAACTCACAACTGACATGGTACCACAAATGTACTGTTTTTCACAAATTAATTAAAGTAGATAGTTTAATGTAGATAGTTTAATGTAGTACTACGGTAAAGAATAATGCTTATTTGTATATTAATTGTATATTAATTTTCTTCCACGTGTGCTTTCTATATAAAAATTATGCGTTTCACGAGAGTTTTCTCCATGTCCAGATCCATTCTTGAAATGTTAACGTTTCGTGAACCTTGCAGTTCACTTCATCAGGGCGAGAAGCAGCCTGATGAGAGTATACTCGCAAAACACATAATCTTTATGTATATTAATTTGTATTATTTTATTATTGTTATTGTTTTATTAGTTTCTTTTCCGTAAAATTTATATAATAAATTATTAATTCAAACTTAAAAATTTAATTATGGTATATTAATACTCTATGCAATGAGTATAATTTATTTTATTATTTTCCCTTTTGTTAATTGAATTACATAATTTAATTTATAAAATTTTTATTGTATTACGATCTATATGTATTAAAATATTATTTAATAAATTAAATTATAATAAATTATTTTTTTCAAATTTATCTTTGTAATAATGATCTTGTTAACAAATGATCTTTAATTCCTTCGTTTATTTCATTTTCATATACATAAATTATTTTTATTAAAATTGAAATTTAATTTTTGTTCAATTCTGTTATATTATTTTAGTGCATTTGTGTTTAAAAATAATTTTTATAAAAATATAAGAAAATTTTTTCTAAAAATTTTTTAAGTAAACATTTGATATGTTCATAAATACACGTAAACATCCGTCTGTCACATACTTTTGCTCATATAAGGGAACTGTATCAAAGAAATCGCATTAATCGCACTATCGAATGTGTACGGTATTATTGCAATATAATCGCAAATGAAGCAATATTTTATTTAAAAAATTTTCACTTTTCACATTTCCGCCCTAGAGAAAAAGTTACATGATAGCTTCTGGTTCATCGTGTGAATTCCCACTAGTTAATTATTTATTCTTGAAAATGATATAACAAATTTATTCGTATAATTGATTAAATTTTTTAGTACTTTGCAACAAAATGTATTATAATGTATATATACTTTTTCGAAACGGTTTGGTTAATAATATTCTCTTTTTTATGCTGAACAAAGGCAAGTTCATTTGGAATTAATCAAGTCTACCAGGTGTACGAATGATGCGTTCGGCATACAGATCCTCTTTTCTATGACGGTGTCGTTCGTATTCATCACTAGTCTTCTGTACTACGCTTACAAGATTTTCTGGCAAGGAAGCTATTCTAAAGAGGAATACAAGAAGGAAATAATACCGGTCATTAGCTGGATTCTGTTCTACTCATCGAAGGTCCTCGTCATAAATCATATGTGCGCAATGGCGAGCGTTGAGGCAAGCAAAATTTTTATACATTCTTTCATTTTTTGTTTGTGTGTTTTAGAGAATCAGTATGTTTTTTAAAAAACATAAGTTCTTTCAAATATTATCACTTTTTTGAGTAGTAAAAACATTAATTGCGTGGTAACAATCGCGATATATATATATATATATTCATGCATGAATTTTCGCAGGCTGCGAACACAGGTGATATAATCTGCGAATTGTACGAGCCAACGACCAGCAAAGAATTTCGTGCGGAGGCAAGTCCATCATCTTATTTTAATGAAATAACGAGAAACAGCATTTAATATCGAAATTTGTTACAGATACGAGATTTCACTCTGCAATTGATACAGAATCCGTTGACATTCACAGCGTGTGGCTTCTTCAATCTGGATCACACGTTTATTCATGGGGTAAGTATTAATGAATCGCTTGAATAAAGCGGAAAGTTGTTTCGAAGATGTGAAGTGGTATGATAAGTTTCTTATATTAAATTATAATGAAATTTAATATATAAAAATAAAGACTTTTAACCTATTGTAAAAATATAGACTCTTAAGTAATCGCTCGCACACTGATGATGCGTATTAGTATGACCTTTTATACTTTATGTTCACCCTAGTATCATTGTTTATTAGTATTAATTTTCATTTACTCTTTGTTACTTCATGCTTCACTAATGATTAATCTGAGACTTTGTCTTATAACTTTTATGCCTGCAATTAAGAATTAACCGTCGAAAGTTATAAAATTTCATACGTTAACGCCAGAACACGATGAAAGTATACAAAGTATCTAGTATTTCAAAATAGAAGAAACTCTAGAGATTGTAGAGATGATTTTTGATATTTCTCTAACTTATTTTATAATTTTGATCAATTAATTTTATTTGCTTGAAAAAAAAAGAAAATAAAATTTGAGAAAATGTAGCAATAAATTTGCAATAAATGTACATAAAAAAATCGCAAAAATTGAAAAACAGCAGCAATTGTTTTTTTTAAATATTTATTTGAAGATAAGAGTTCCTGGATTTATTTGTACAATTAAGGATTTAAAAAAATTGAAGATAAAATAAGATCTTTAAAAATAATATATAAATCTCCTCTTTCTCTCTCTCTCTCTCTCTTTCTCTCTCTCAGATAAAGTATATAAAATCAAAATCGAATTTCTTTTTTCTCAGGTCATTGGCTCGGTCACCACGTACCTCGTGATTCTCATCCAAGTTGGAGATTTACCTACAGGAAATGATAAACCACCGAATACTACCATACAACCATTCGACGAGTCGAATATTACTATGACCGATGCATTTACAACCATTACTTCTCCGTAAAAGCAAATTTCGCACATTTTTCATTTCTCATTGTTTTATACAAATTTAAGAAATTGAAGATTTGACGAAGTACGCGTGTGATCGTTTTTCTGAATATATATATATATATATATATATATATGTATATATATATACTTAACTTTGCGTCACGTGATGCGAAGACAAAAAGTCTATTAATTTTTTCTTATTGAGTGCTGAAACTTTCATACACGGAAATATACATATTTTAGCAAATTGAAATATTATTTATTATGATATGTAGAATAAAGTGTTATTCTATATCTTTTTCTATAAATGATATCGATTTTTCTCCAGAAGAGAACACAGTACACAGAATAATCGCAAGGTAAAACCGCTTTTTGTAGAACTAAATTTATTTTATGCCTAAATGCACTTATTTCATAGTCTCTAATGATTTCCCGAATTTACATTCTTATCTTCGAGATCGTACACGAAGGGGCAGCGCTGTAAAGTGTTTAATTGTCTGATCAGTTAACGAGGAACCGATGAGATCGGATTCTAGCTGACGATTTTCCGCCAATTAGAACGCCGCCGGGGATATTGTGTCAATTACACTACCCTAAGTGCATTTATCCTCCTCAGTTACTATCCAGATGGAGGTGTTAGCCCGTGAAATTCGGTCCTGCCGTAATTCAATAGGTCCTACAACTTGGGCACAGCACTTCCCCAATCGATTATATCGATTATACGTGCGAGTGAAATTTTCACAGGATTTTTTCTTTTTTTGTACAAATTCTTTCAAATTTAATTAACAATATATTTTTTATCCTTACATAGTATTTTATATTTAAATAATACGTATGCTATTTTTTTTTATTTCTTCGATGTGCGGATGTCATTATAGTGTTTTAATGCTTTTCCTACAATTTGTTTATGTATCTTTTCTTTGTATTTGTTGAACATATATAGACAAATTAACTGAATAAATCTATTTCTGAAAAGCAAGAATTCGAGCAATTTTAGAATTAAAATATTGCAAAAAATATTTCATTGTATTATAGAACTGCGTTTTACTTTAACCCACCCGATGATGTTCCATCGGCGCATTCGATGCATAATCCGCGAGGAAACATGTTCGAACGTACGGTTTGAAGACCAAGGGGGATGTGTAGGACGTACGTTTACATCGAGGATAACATTAATTGGGAATTAAGGGCGCGAACGCCGGTGGCCGTCAGGAGCCACCTGCTACTATACTAGTACTTCTCGTTGAGCTAAGGGGATTGATTTATTGTACCCGGGGGAGAAAGAGGGTTTGCCGACCGTTTCGAAGCGAATCTAACCAATGTCGTTGTTCCCTCCTGTTAAATAAAATTCTGAAGAGGCATCGTGGATGCATTATCAATGATATTGTTTTCTACAGTCGCTCTTTTCTCCGCAAGTGATCAAATTTTGTTTTAAATTACATACGATCACATTTTATACGATTTGGTAGCCAATTCTGTTTATTCTTTAATATTATACATATAGATATAATATAAAAATACTTTTGAATTAAATTGAGAAGAATGCATATAAGTCGAAATATTGAAATTTTAAATAAATATTTTAAATATAATAATATATTTCTATTTATCGTTCATTTGTTATAAGCGATACAATTAGGAAAATAAAGTCCTTCAGGAAATAAGCTTAAATATTTTGAATTGTTAAAATGTAATATTAATTTTGAAATGTACAACTTTGAATGTAATGACTGATATAATTATAGAGAAATAAAAGTACTTTTAATGTACTTTTAATGTACTTTTAATGTATATCTTAATGTACTTTTAATGCGTATTTTTTTTCATGTTACCATTTTTTTTTTACGAACAATTAAAAAATGACACGTCATTGTTGTAACAAATAAATAATATATATTATATATTTTTTATATAATGGAATTTGTTAAATCGAAATGACTATAATAGAAATATTTAGCGTGGAAAATAAATATTTGCTGCGATTAAAAATAATTTTATTAATGTTCCATTATAAAAAAAATTATAATGCTTATAAAACAATCTTAGTAATATATATACAATATAATCTTCCTTGAAAAACTCTTAAATTCCTGATTTAATTTTCCAAAAGCATGATCGCATATACTGTTTAAAAATTAATTTGATTAATAATATTAAAAAGTTAAAATTGTTTTAATTAAAATTTGTTCATTATTTCCATTAAAATTTTAGTAGATCGAAAGGAAAAAAGATATGTATGCGAAGAACTTGGTAAATGAAATCCGTAACGCGCCGATCAATGGGCTGTTTTCTCTCGAGCGAAGCATACGGGCTGGATTAGAGATGGAAATTGTTGGATATAGGCAAACACAAACAGCAGCGTACGATCCTAATAATCCGCAAACGTCGTTTATCATCCGAAAGCGGATCCGCCCTAACTCGAGACCACTCCTACTCGAGGGTGCGCGCAGTCGCTGACTGTTGTCTCTTATTCACCTTTGTGTGTGTGTGTGTGTGTGCGCGCGCGCGCGCGCGCGCGCTTTTATATTAAACTTGTTATGCCTATCTAAACTTATTATATATCAATACATTTTTCTATTTATTTATTTATATCGTATATATATATATATATATATATATATATATATATATGTACATACATTATATCTATAGAAAAATATTAGTAAATGCTAATAAATAAATGCTAGAATTTAAAATCATATAGATATGATTTTATATTTGCTATATTTATGATTATGCAAAGATAGAAAATCCATATTTACAATCTTTTATTACCATATTTTAATTTATTTTTCAATTTCTTAGCATTTATTCCATATGTCTTCAATCTTTCTGCATTCAAAGACATCGTTGGATCATTATGATTTGGTTTGCGTCTTCCAGTATTCATTTGGTTAAATTGAGAACTCTTATTCCTGTTTTTCCTCTTACCTGTAAATTTGTCAATAGCTACCTTTTTGTTATTATTTTCTGCTTTAATTTTGTTATTAATCTCTACGATATCTCTATTTTTGTTATTATTCTCTATGTTGTTAATGTCCATTTTTATTTGAGAATCTTCCGTCGTTGTGTTATCTATTTTCATTTTCTTAGAAATCGGAGCATCGCTGTTGACTTTTAAGTTGTTCTTTCGTTTCTGCTTTTTATTCTTATTTATTATATTTTTCTCTTGTGTATCCTCATTTTTTTCCTCCTTTCCACTTTCATCCTTATTATGTAAATTATTCTGTACATCGTTCTCTGTTACATGCATGATTTTTTCTCTAGAAACAATATCAGCATTAGAATTACTGGTTTTAGCTCTCTTCTTTCGCCTATGTTTCTTATTATTAGTTTCAGTTTGTTCAGTAACATTTTCGCCTTTTTCTTCTTCTTTCTCTTCAGGTTTGCTAAATATACAAGAAAATAACATGTAATTTATAATATGTATAAAATATCTTATATGTTCTTAATCCTCGTATAATACTTACGTATATAAACTCTTGAGAATTTTTCGTTTATTTGTTTCATTCATTGATTTTTCTTTATATATTTGAATCTCATTATTTTCTACGTGTTCTGATTTATATTTAAGAGCTTGTCTCAAAGAACACCACTTATTTAACTCTTTATCATCAGCCATTAAAATCTTGAAATAAGAGAATGTATATATATTTATTAAATTATAAATTATAAAAATTATATTATTAGAAATGATTTCGTTAGAATTATTGGTTTTAATATATTAATGAATTTTACACATGAATTAACACTTACTTCTTCAACACTTAATCCATAGTTGTTTGGCACTACTTTTCGATATTTAAATCTACAAGGTAAATCTCCTATCATATCCTCATAATCCAACGAGTAATATTGATCAAAATAATCTGCATATGAAGGAAACTGTTTTGGATTAAATTTCGGTTTCTCCTTTGCTATAAGTTCAGCAAATTTAGAACGTTTTCTTCGTTTTTTCTTTTTTGTATTTTCTATGACTTCGGATTGTAAATCTCGGGATTCATTATAATCTGCATCCATCTATAATCAGATGACTAGTAAAATTCCCATATAAAATATATTAGTAAAACACACCATATAATAGATAAGTTATAATAAGTACATTAAAATCTGGATCTTCACAATGAGGTCCTTCGTATTGTTCAGCTTTCACGTCAATTTTATCTGTAGTTGGATCATAAAAGTCCCACTTCTCAATATCCAATTCTTCATCAATCTCTGGGAATTCTGGTTTCTGCATCTCATCTTCACCACCAGCATAATATTCGTCATTAAAAATCTCTTTCATCTTTTTGTCATGTTCATTTGGATCAAAATCGGAATCAAAATCAACGTTATCGAAGCGCATATCATCATTTCCTGCAGTAGACATAACATAATGTTGACTAATTTAACATAAATTTTACCTTGTAGATTTAAAAATTAAAGTTATGTTACCTGTGATTTCTTTCAATTTTTCTATTTTGTCTTCTATTTCTTTTCTCTTCAATGCCTTCAATTGCTTTAGTTCTTCTCTCTTTTGTTGTTTCTCTTGTTCTTTTCTTTGCTTAACTTCTGTTCTCTTTTGAGCTCTGCGCGTATCTTTTTTCCGCATTGAGTTTTCCATCGTTCGTGGATACCTTAATAAAACATAAAATTCACGAATAAAAAAAATGTTAACATATTTAATAACTAACATTTATATTTATATTAAATAAGAACTCGTACCTTTTGATATAGTCTTGATCAGGTTCTTCATATCTAAAATTGTATTTACGTTCAAATGCCTCTTGTTTTTCAATAGTCTTTTCATCTTCTGACAAATTCTCATCGCTGTCATGAATAACTTGGTTATACTCTAAGCCAACATCATATGATTCTTTATCCATATACTTATTATTTAAAATATAATCTCTTAAAAATTTCTCATTTGAATCTAAATTGGAATCCAACCAAAAATCGCGTAATGGTTTAAGAATTTCTTTGTCCTTGAGATCTATGTTCACTTCTTGACCTTTCAACCACTTCTTATATGATTCTTTTTCCTAAATAAAACAATAATAGCATTATACAAAATAATACATACATATATATACATACATACACATGTAAAAATTGTAATCATTGAAACTATACTTCATGTTTTTCATCTTCTGTCTTTTGTTTTATTTTTAAAAGATCATTATCTTCATTATCCTCTTCGTCTTCATCTTTTAGAGCATGTTTAAAACTATCTCTTAATTCTTTTTGTTCCTGCACATAAGTGGACGTTTTAGAGTCAGCTCTCTGTTTTGCATCATCTTCATCTTCGCTACTACTAAACCGTCCATCTCTCTCTAATATTATCTTACGTTCGTAATCGCGTAAAGAAATAGGTTTCTCTTTTTTTAACTTTTTCTTTCCTATTTTTTTTGCTTCAGTACTTTCCGATGTTCCAGGTTTATCAATATTATTAAAAACATTTTCATCATATATGCTCGGATCTTCAGATTTCAAACAAGCCAATGTTATGAGAAACTGTTTATCAAATTCTGGATCCTGAATCTAAAAAGAATTAATTACTATTATTATGCATTTTTAAAAATCAGTATTATTCTACACAAATTTTTATGAGATAAAAAGGAGACAAAATCTAATAAGTAAGAAAATATTTATGATAAAATATATGATAAGAGTAATTAATAATTTGTTAACTAACTAGTAATCAACATACATTCTCATCTTCTGATAAACTACTATCACTGGACTCGTCCTCTGAAAATGTAGCATCTTCTCCATATCTTGCCTTCACTGTAAGATAATTAAAAATGGAAAAAAATTATAATATATTAGGGAGAATTATTATCCAATAAAAAAATCTTTTGTGTCTGTTAAAGGTTAGGTTCACTCACATTTATGTAATTCTTCCTTTTGACGAAAATTATCGTAGATATTGGCATATTCCTTGTTTATCTTCAATTCTCCATCGGAGTCGGAGTCATCGCAATTGAATAACGACATGTTACGAGTATTTTTTACCAACTTTTAGTTAAATTATTGACGATTGATCGTGGTGCACAAAACGTGGGTCGTAGGTGTGTGGAGGTCGTGGATTGTCGTATATATGAATTACGTTACGTAGCCATATATACGTACGATCTAACCTAGTTTTGATGAAGCGTGTTTGTAATATTTCATGTAGTGTGATTTTATCAATAATTAAATGCTTCAAAAGCTTTGAAGCATATTAAAAATTTTATCGCGAAGAATATTTTATATTGAAGAATATTTACCGAATGAGTAAGGATCCCAATTAACAATTAAATTGTATTTGTTATGATTGAGTTAATGTAATTGAGTTGAATTTATTGTTTAATTGTAATATTTTTAAGTATTGCAGCATTGTAGTATATTTGTATTTTTTTTACGTTATTATTTTGTTCTTACAGCTTCAATGATAGTTTCTTACTATATATTTGCTGTAAAATAGTATATATTATATATGTTATTATAAGCATATTTTTAAAAGAAATTAGTACAATATATTTTAAGTGAAATATAATAATTACATATATATTAGATTATTTAATAAATTTAATATGATATAATTAATCTAATACAGTTTAGTTAATAAGTCTAGGCAGTCATTTCTTCTTTAATGATTATTCATATGTTTTTACATTTGTTACAGGATTATTTGTAAGTCACAAAAATGGCTTATCTTCTGAATAAGACTTCCATTTTATGGCGATCTGTTTTTCATAAGAATATAATTTCTGGTCCTATTAATAAAAATACCCTTGTAAAAAATTATAAACATCTTGCTCATAAGACAAATGCCTGGACAGAACAAAAATATAAACTTAAGGACAATATAAGCAATGGTTACCGACTTGTATATAGGGAACACTCAAATATATGTACATTAATTATTTTAACATATCATTTTGGTTGGCTAAGTCTTGCTGCTAATCTGTCTGTTCTGGGATATTTCGTCTGCATGAAACCACCAGTACAAGAAGAAACAGAGAATCTATTACCCGATGACAAATTAATATTAAGACCTTCTTCTAATTTGGGAAGACTATTATTGATACTTGGTAGTTTTACTATATCGATTATACTCATAGTAGGCAGTAAAACTATTCCGTTCCGAATTTATCATAATTCTGCAGATAAAATATACAAGGCTGTGTTTGTAAACAGAATATTAGGCAAAACACAAATGGAAACTTTTGGCGAAAGTACTATTGTTCCTGTATTTAGTCGTAATCGAGGAGATATATTTTTTAAAATCAATGGCCGTATTGTAATACTTGATAAAGAATGTTTCCCAGTACAAAGCATGCGTGAGCGAATGATTCACAAAATCGAGTAGAACTATATATATTATATTTATATACTATTGCACTCTGTATATATATCAAAGGAGAACAGTATCATTAACAAATATCACTGTGTGATATTTGTTAATGATACTGTTATCCTTTTACATCAATCATGTAAACAAGATCGAGCTAACATTAATATATCAATATATAAATATATTTTTTATGAAATAATAATAAACATATGTATAAAATTAGAACCATCACGCTTTTATTTTTTATTTCAATTTTTTAGAGATAATTTGTATTGTATACTGTATGAATTCTATATATTGTAACAATAAATATTTAGCTTAATTTTCTTAAATTTTTTTTTTAGATAAAAATATAAATTTTTATATACACTCTTATATGCTATATATATATGTAGTCGAAAAAAATATAAGACATTTAAAAATTCTGATATATCCTTACAAAGAAGGACAATATACATTTATATATATATATTCATTCATTTCTGAAATAATTGTTTTATTTTTTATATTTCTTAATTTAACAAGAGATTGATACTTATCAAATTTAAAAAACAATAATTTCAGACTTTGATTTTAAAATTATAGCATTTTATTTGTGTGGACGATGAGATTTCTGATTTTCCTAATTTTACATATGTATTTGCACCATACAAACACTGATATGTAATAAAATGTAATTGTGTGATAATATTCAATAAAAAGTTTGCCTTAAATGGACGTTTCACAAAAAATTGTTTCTCAGGAATTGCATGTAAAATTTATATTATGTAAAGTAATATAAATTATATTATTTTATGATATATGCTTTATATACAAGCTTGAAATTTCTTATTTAGCTGTTAAATTTGTACACAGGTGCTCTTCAAAGTAATACGAATGTAATACAAGCTATCACTGAATAACGTTAAAATATAATATCTTTTTCCTAGTATTTTTTTCACACAATTGTTTTTCAATCTACATACTTGCATACTTGTTCATATGGCAGTTTCTTCAAGATTTGCTTATCTTTTTCGAGTTCAACATCTATGCTATAATGCTCTATATGTAATTTTTTCACTATTGCTCTTATACCTTTATGTTTTCCCCAAAGAATAAGAACTTCTTTACCTATCGCAGGAATTACTGTCTCTAAATATTCTTGATCTAGTCGTATAATATGTCCATTAACTTCTTCTGGTGTCTTCAGTTTTACTTTACCAACGAAACCATCTATTCCAATTGATTGAACAACGCCTTTAGCTTTGTAATATTTGTCACCTAGACTCTTCGTGGTTACTTTAACCATTAAACCTTCCCTAAGCCAACCTTCAGATGCAGAAGGATCATCATTATTTTTTAACTTCTTGACAGATTCTGTTTTATTGTCATTATTGGATCTTTTGAGTTTTTCGTTTTTCTCATCGATTGATTTATTTGAAACTGATTTACTTTGGCTATCTTCACTTTTTATCTTCTCCTGCTTTACTTCAAGAACAGGAAGCAATTTTGGTTTTGGTTTTAGCTTTATGTCAAGGACCAAAGGTGTATCGTTCTCAGGACGCATCAATGGTGTCTTAGATGTCTCACCCTTCTCATCTTTTGTATCCTGTTTTGCTCTTTCTATTTGCTTGTCAATAAAATCCATCAGTCGTTCTTCATCGTCTTTGTCCATTTTTTCCTTCTTCGCTTTTCTTTCCTGTGCTGCAAGTGTCTCAGGATCCCTATCAATATATGTTATATACCAGCCTAAAATAATATAAAATACATTTTTTTAAATCTAAAATTTTATCGATAGATAAAATGTATCTATATCTTTGTATCTATAATTATCAACAATTACAAATAAATTTTAACAATATACAAGCCTTTTTCGGTTTCGTCGACAACACACTGTCCAGTACGTCCAAGCCATTTTACAAATGCAGTCAAAGTGAGCCATTGAGTTGCATTCATATGTATATGTCCTCTATCGGCAATGTACTCTTGGTATACTCGATTTGCTGGTACTCGTCTGGTGCCAAATTGTCTTTTCAATAGATTCAGATATCCCTGTGAAAATTCCCGTGAGAATTGATCCATATATCGATGAGCATTTTCTGCGAACAGCAATAGCTGCCGATGATGTGACTCTGACATCGTGTGACATTTGAATCCATTCTCATCCCGACATTGTTTTTGACACATTTGACAATACCACCTTAACTTCTGCAATCCTTTTGCCTTGATTTTATTAGCGATGTACTTTGGTGTGCCTACTTCATGCTTCCCCATTGTTTATATTCTATTCTTAGCTCAGTTTTAGCTCAAAGAAAGAGAGCCAGAGAGAGAAAGGGTTGAAACCTACAATAGGATAATAAATCGAATAACAATAAGATGTTTATTTTAAAATCTAATTCAATCATAAATTTAAAAATATATATAATAGTAATTTGTTTATAAGAATTACAAGCATTGTTTACAGGTTAGAAGAAAGAATAAGGAAAAGTTCAGTATTTTTATCACATTTTTTTATCTTGGCATATTGAACTTACAAGCTATTTTCAAAAACTGCCAGAATATTTTCTTATTCAGCATGAAAATTTTCTTAAACTGTCAGTAAAATAAAATTCCAATAAATTTTTATTATACTCCGTTTGTTCAGTAGTCTCTTTGAATCCAACATATATCCTACGCTCAGATGAGCCAGAGAGAAACCTGAGAGAGGTCACGCCGGCCTTCTTTCTGTTACCGTCGAAATTATCCGTACATTACTGCCAGTACATCCATTTTCAGTTTGCGAACTATGTGATTACATACATTTTCTGACACTATCGATAAAATTGTATCGTCGAAAGTAGAAATGGTTCGTCTCTGTACTAAATTCTCAGGATAGAAGCGTGCCGACTATCCATAGGAGGGATAATTTAATAGATCCTTGAACAAAAAAATTTTAATTTCTATATATATAAATAAAAGTTGGTGAATTTTAATAAACAAAATTGAAAAAATTCAAACAAGTTAAATTAATAAAATTTTAATTCCGCATCTTCTATATATGTAAATAAAAATTGTTAAATTTTAAGGATTAAAAATGTTTTCTGATTTTTTCTTATTAAATATTTTATGTAAGTTTCTATCGTGAGGATTTAATACGGAGACGAATCACATCTATTGGGTCATCTAAAAAGTATCCGTGGTACTTTGTCACTAGATATATGACCATCAACACACAGTGACAAAAAACCGCGGATACTTTTTAGATGACCCAATATTTTCGACAATATAATTTTATCGATAGTGTTAGAAAATGTATATAATTACGTAGTTCTCAAATTGAAAATGGATGCATTGACGGTAGTGTATGGGCGATTTCGACGGTAACAGGAAAAAACCGACCTCAGGTTTCTCTCTGCTACGGTATATGGTGTTAAGTTTTTATTGGCTTCAATGTGATTTGTTGAGTCAAACAGTAAAAACCAATCACATTCGATTACTATTTTAGGCTACATTCCAAAACTTTCTCTCCAAGGAAGATTTTATTTTATATGCTTATATAGTATACGTTACGTGTACTACTATATATTTCGAGTAAAATTTTCCTCGGAGAGGAAGTTTTGGAACATAGCCTTAGTTCAGTGATTGTTATGAATGCACCCATTTATTCTAGGGATACGTAATTTAGCTTTCATTGTACGTTGGTCATTCTGCCTTTCATCAGTGCCCTCTTTATCTCTTTCATGAGCTCATCGTCCATGATTCTTTTCCTTATTGAAAGAAAACCGATTCAAGATGGTTAGTAAGGACGTGAGATTGTAATCCGAATTTATTTATAACATCAATGGTTAATGTATTCCGATTATTTGATGAAAATTGTGTTATTGCCATAGTCTAATCCGTAGCTTGTGAATATTTTCTAATTTTACTCTCGTGACAGATTTATGTCACATAACCTTGTGTCACCGAACACAGAGCATCACAATTGTCGAGTTATAAATTAGATGGAAAATAAAAGAAGATTGTATTTTTTGCATAGCAATTTATATCTGGGCAAATAAAACAATTAATATTACAATCAGATTTATAACAACGATTCGTAACTCGTGTAGTCATTTTGTTTTAGTCAGTATACAACATGTGAATGTACTTAACATGTATATTGAATTATTCTAGGCAAAAGTGAAGTGTTCTGAATTAAGGACCAAAGATAAGCGGGAGCTGATGAAGCAGCTCGAACAGCTCAAAACAGAATTGACCACTCTACGAGTGGCTAAAGTGACTGGAGGAGCTGCATCAAAATTATCCAAGATGTAAGTTTTCTAATTCTTATAATTCATTATAAATGTCTTCATAATCTTTCAAATTATGATGTAAATAATTTATAAAATGATAAAATTATATAAAAATATTAAACATGCATTTATTTGTTCTTTTGATATCTATACTTTATCTCATTTTATTTAAGATTTTAAGAAATTGTAAAGTATTGAAAAATTTGTTGATATATATCATTTTATATGCATAATATGAAATATATAGATAGAAATTAATTTTAATCTGCAATGTTTTTATGAATTTTTCTATTTATTTTATTCTAGTCGTGTCGTGAGGAAAGCTATTGCACGAGTGTATATTATTATGCACCAGAAGCAAAAAGGAAATCTCCGTTTACTTTACAAAAATAAAAAGTACAAGCCGCTTGACTTGAGGCCCAAGAAAACGAGGGCTCTACGTCGTGTTCTTACTCCCTACCAAGCCAGCAGGAAAACGTTGAAGGAGATACGCAAACGCTCTACGTATCCACAGAGAAAATATGCTTTGAAAGCATAGTATGTACATTTTTAATCACTATTCAAAATAAAAATTTCATTAAAATATTGAGTGTTTATTTGCGACAAAATATTGATATTCACAATCTATTAGCCTTTTGTTAGCTAGGTGCAAGAGAAAACAAAAATTCTATCTGCAAAATTATTCAAGGCACTGTATATTTATAAAATAACTCCCTTCGGATAAAAATCTTATGTCCGTACTTTTACAAGAGATAAATACAGAAGTTTTAGAAAAGTCTAAGAAGTCTATATACAAATATTATTATTCTACATAACTAATTTATATTATATTATAATTTAGTTATAACAAAGATTAAACAAATTTATTATTCATGATTACACGGTAATGAGCCTTCCGGAGCACCATGGACATGGATGAAAATTAGGTTCTATAATACATGTATCTTTACAGTCTTTGATTTCCGTGAGAAGATCAAGAATATCTGATGCAGTTTTATCTTCGATCAATGGTAGTTCTGCATTGTCTTGCTTTTCATTTTCAGATAGCGTAGGAGCATCGACATTTGTATCTGTAAAGAGAATACAATCATATATATATATATATATACACATACACACACACTTTTTTCATCATTCTAATATAGATCATTTTAATTATAAACAAAATAGATTATAATTAAATTTTTTTTTAAAATATAGTCTTCACTCATTTATGTTTGATTCATTAAAAAATTCTAAAGGAAGTAAAGAAAATATTAAGTATAGGTAAATTTACCTTTATGACAATTTATTTCTGTGGAATTTATTAGTGTTTCGGGATGTTTTTTAAGCAAGTCAGTAACTAATACTTTTAATTTGTGCAACTGTTCCTGTTGTTGATTACGTTGCTCCACTAATTGACGGAAGGTTTGCTCTCTTTCCTTCCATCTTTCTCCTAGAATTGCTCGTTGTTTTTGATATAAAGTTATGTATTCTCCTGTATAAATGTATGCGCGTTAATTAGATTTTTTAAAATAAAGAATTCAAATATAATATATGTTATGTGAAAAGTGAAGAATTAAAACAATAATTTGTATAATGTTAAATTTAAGATTAAAAATTAATTATTAAAATATTTACAGTAATATCTAAAAAATTAGGAGTAAAGAAAGTAGGGCAAAGTTTATATAATCGAAAGTAGTATAACTTACCTATAGTTTCTGTTTCACCTTGGAGCTGAAGAACAAGATGTTCTAATTTCTGTTTCTCGTCAGTTAATTCAGCGACCTTTTCCATTGTTTCCTTAAATCTGTTTTCTAATTTTGTAATAGGCCTAAAATTGTCTGAAATATTTTTATCTTCTGGCAGTGATGAGTTTTGCATTGTTATAATATCATTACAATTTTGCTCATTTTTTGTTACAAGCTGATCTTCATTAACGTTTTCAACTTCTCTGGATAAATGTGTCTCTTGTTGTACTTTAGTTTCTAATTCTTTTGCGAGTTCTTCATTCTCACTTTTTAAATCTTCTATATAAATCTGAAATATATAAATTACGAATAATATATATAAATAAAGTTATGTTAAATAATGAAATCATATAAATTGCATCCTCACGTAAAAGACATGTATGACGATTCTAAATTAATTAAAATTATTAAATTACTAAATAGTTGACGAATTACCAAAGCATTTTGTAATTCTTGTTGTAATGTTCGGGCATGATGTGACTGTGCTTGATAATGCTGCATTTGATCTGCAATTTGAGCGTTTTGCAGTTTTTCTTTCTCTAATTCTATTAAAAGTGTTTCCTTTTCTTTTAATTTTTCTTTCAAGTTATCCATTTCCATCTCGACATTATTCAATCTTGCATTTAATTTTCGACCAATATTTCGTTCAGCTTGAAGCTGTTCTGTTAAATCTAACTTAGCATTACTCTAAAAAGAAAATAATTATATAAGTTTTTAAAACTAAATAAATTTTTGTAATAAAAAGAAATATTATAAATTTGTTTAAGTCAAAATATATTAATATTAGATTGATGTATATTATATAACTATACCACTCACAAGAGTAACAAAAGCATTTTCCATTTCAGTTAATTGTTCCTTTAACTGTTGATTTTGTGAAACAGCTCTAGATGCACCAAGTTTTTCACTTTCAAGAGCCTGTACTAATTTTGCTGCATCATTTCCATCATCTTTCATGTCTCGTAATTCCTGTATTTCTTTTGTTAACATTTCAATCTCCGCATCCTAAAAATCATCTTGTCATTAAAAAACATTTTTCTACTAAGTTTCTGAATTGTTATTTTTTGTATATATTTTTACCCTTTCAGATAACGCGATATGAAGGTTTTTATGTTGTGCAGTTAGATCCTCAATGTTTTTCATTAAATTAGTTATTTCATCGTTATGATCTTGCGATGGAAGTATGGCTTCACTTTTCTCTCTTTCATGCTGCAATTGTTGTTCTAAATCCGATAAACGTTGTATGTAACTTTTCTCTCTACTTTCTAAATCACTGATTATTTTTTTTCCACTTTCAACCTGTAATTACTCGATATAAAATGACTACTTTTATGAATAGAGTTATGTAAACATTTAATGTACCTCATTAAATAATTTTGCTTGCTGTGCATCTAACTGTCGTACATAATTTTGATATTGTCTACTGGCTTCATCCTTCTCATTATTCACTAGTTTCAAAGTTTCTCTCATTTGAGCCAACTGTTGTTCTAGTACTGTTACAGTTTGATGCTGGGACTCTAATGTTTGCGATGTATCAGTTAGCTATAATCAATTTATTTACATTAATTTTAAAATAAAATGATCGTAATTTTCAACAAAAATGGTAAAAAATTACTTGTTGTATCCTTAATTCATTTAAGGAAAGTAAAACTGCTTTCTCTTG